CACGCCCCGCCCTCATGCCCTCAGCCGGGACGGACCCATCCCCGTCTCTGCCCCGCCCCACCTTGCCGGGGCGGGGGGCGGGGACGCCTCCCCCACGGCCCCCTGTGCCACAGGCTCTGACCCCCGGACCCCGCAGACGAGCTGGCGGCCGAGATGCAGGACGTGGACGTGGACGAGGACGAGGCCGAGTTCGAGGACGCTGTCGCGGCCGAGGGGCTGGAGGACGAGGCCTGGGACACGGAGGAGGAGGAGGAGGAGGTGGGGGGTGCGCGTGCCGGCGGCCCCCCTGCCCCCGACGACAGCGAGGTCACCTTCGCCCGGCACTCGGGTGAGCCCCGTCCCCATGCGGCCGTGTGCGTCGGGTCGGGCTGGGCAGGGCAGGGCAGGGCTGGGCGGACGGACGGACGGACGGACGTGTGTTCCCAGCCTCCGTCTTCTGCGTGAGCCTGGACCCGCGCACCAACACGCTGGCGGTGACGGGCGGCGAGGACGACCAGGCCTTCGTGTGGCAGCTGAGCGATGGGGAGCTGCTCTTCGAGTGCTCGGGTGAGGCGCTGCGTGCTGAGGCTGTGCCCGCGCTCTTGCCGGGACGTGGCTCGGCGGCCACGCATCGGGTTTGTCCGGGCAGCTTTGGACAGGGCTCCCCATGGCCCCGGCAGCAGCTTCCCCTTCTCCGCGCCTGCAGGTCACAAGGATTCGGTCACCTGCGCCGGCTTCAGCCACGACTCGGTGTTCGTGGCCACGGGGGACATGAGTGGGCTGATCAAAGTGTGGCGGGTGGACACGAAGGCGGAGGTCTGGTCCTTTGAAGTGGGCGACTTGGAGGTGAGGGGCCGCAGCCCAGGGACCCAGCTGCCAGGCTGTGCCTGGCCTGGTGGTGGTGGGGGTTGAGTTGGGGCCCAGGAAGCAAAAGTGATCAATTCTCCTCGAAATTGGGGGCAGAGGGGGTGCTTGGCCTGGGTAGGGCAGGGGTGTTGGGGCTGGACAGCAGGGAGCGGGGTGCAGGCCAGGGTCACTGGGGTCTGAGGCCCAGGCATATTCTTGCATGTGTCCACGGAGCGCCCGGTGCTGGTCCCCTCGCCCGCCGTGGTGCCTGGGCTCCCTGCCCCCGGGCCCCATGTGTCCTCCCTCTCCCCAGTGGATGGAGTGGCACCCCCAGGCCCATGTCCTGCTGGCGGGCACGGCCGATGGCAACTCCTGGATGTGGAAGATCCCGGGTGGGGACTGCAAGACTTTCCAGGGCCCGAGCTGCCCGGCCACCTGTGGCAAGGTTCTCCCTGACGGTGAGGGCTGCCCTGCCTTGCCCCGAGTATGGCATGGCCAGGGGAGGGGGTCAGGGCATTGTTGGTGCTGGCTGTAGGTTGCCCCTATGGAGCATGGCAGGGAGGGTGTCTCTGGGTACGTAGGGGTGGGTCTCCAGGGCGAGCGGTGCTCCTGAGGGGGTGATGAGAGCCACAAGCCCCTCCCTGCCCAGGGAAGAGAGTGGTGGTCGGCTACGAGGATGGCACTGTGCGCGTCTGGGACCTGAAGCAGGGCAGTTCGATCCACGTCCTCAAAGGTAGGGAGGGCTTGTCCCAACCTGGCGGTGCCACCTGAGGCAGAGAGCAAGGGGGCTGGGGTCGGGCTTGAGGGCTGTTGGGAGTGGCAGTGCCCTAGGGGCTCACACCGTGTCCTTCCCAGGCCAGGACGGGCACCAGGGCCCCCTGACGTGTGTGGCCAGCAGTAAGGACGGCAGCCTGGTTCTGACGGGCTCCGTGGACTGCCAGGCCAAGCTGGTGAACGCCGCCACTGGCAAGGTGAGTCTGTGTCAACTTGGGGCTGAGTTGGGGGGACACCCGTGGGTGTGGGGGTCTCTGCCAGTGTGCTGCCCCTGGGAGCCTCCTGGGGTAGCTCGGCTGTGCCCAACTCCCTGCACTACACTGCTGCTAGCAGGGCCAACGGGCTGGGGTGTACCCTTGGCCCGAGGCAGCTCATCCCTGCCTGCTGGAGCCCTCGGAGGTGGGGGGCTGCGGCTGTGTTCCCGGGGGTGGTGTGGCCCAGGCCCAGGCTGCCCTTGCGACGTGGTGCCCCTGCCATGGGATTGCCGCTGGAGTATCGAGGCCCTGGCGCTAGCTCCGTTCCTGGCTGACAGGCATGCGCCGTGCACCGCAGGTGGTGTGCGTGTTCCAGGAGGGAAGTGCCGCCCCGCCGACCCCAGCCGGGGGGGCCGAGGAGCCTGAGTCTAACTCCGTGGAGTCGCTGGGCTTCTGTAATGTGTGAGTGCCAGGGTTGGGGTCCAGGTCTGAGCCATAGGGTGGTGGGTGTTGGCAGCCAGGGGTCATGTGGCCTGTCATGTGATTTCTGCCCCTTGCCTGGGCTGCCCTTGACCACTGCATGAAGTAGGGGGTCTGCCTGTAACTTCCCCCTCAGCTGCTGCGGTAGTTTCTGCCCCTGCTGCCCCCTTAACAGCCTCCCCCGCAGGATGCCACTGGCCGCCGTGGGCTACCTGGACGGGACGCTGGCTATCTACGACCTCTCCACGCAGAGCCTGCGGCATAAGTGCCAGCATGAGGTATGGGGCGGGCTGCCTGGGGGCTGGGCCTGCTGCTTCCAAGTGCCCCTGGGTGGGGGGTTCCTTGACTATCCCACAGGGGAGGGCTGGGACTGTCCCTCCCCCCTACCCTGTGTCTAAGCCCCCTGGATGCTGTTCCTTGGGGAGGTGGGAGGGCGTCATTCTCTGCATCTTCCTGCGGTCCCCGTGGGGGCTGGCTTTGCTGCACCTCGAGGCAGTGACCCCTTGGCAGAGGCTTGTCCAGCTGGCCCTGGCGCCCCGGGGGCTGGGGCTGTGGCTGTGTCCAGGCTGACGTGGGCGCCGGGTGGCAGTCGGGCATCGTGCAGCTGCTGTGGGAGGAGAGCGCAGCCGTGGTGTACACCTGCAGCCTGGACGGCGCCGTGCGGCTCTGGGACGCCCGCTCCGGCAAGCTGCTCAGCGAGTACCGGGGCCATGGGGCTGAGATCCTCGACTTTGCCCTCAACAAGTGAGTGCCCGTACCCAGCTCCCACCGTTTGCTGGGGTGGGAGCCTGTTGTCTGTCTACGGCTGGGTCACTGGGCTTGATGCCTCCCTGCCCTGTAGGAGGCTCCCGGGGCACGCTGGGCTGGGAGGGGTCGAGGGGCAGAGCTGCTGTGGGGGGTCCATGGGCCGAAGAGCAGCCCCGCTCAGCACCCGCTCCCTTCCTCTCCCCAGGGACGCCTCCATTGTGGTGACAACGTCGGGCGACCATCAAGCCAAAGTGTTCTGTGTGCAGCGCCCTGACCGCTAGCCGCACCTGCCACGGAGCGGGGGCAATGCATCGTGGGGGAGTGGGTTTTGTATCAGAGGACTTTTAAATGCTATAAATTATTTCCCATAGCGGGTCCGTCCCGGTGCACTGTCTGCGCCAGCTCCCAGCTGGGCTGTGTGGCCCCAGGACCCGTCACCCCCTGCGCCATGTGACTGGCTGCCCTTGTGCCTATAGGTGTGGAGCCCCCACATCCTGTTGGGCTCCCTCAGCCAGTGTCTGCCTGGCCGGCTGCTGTACTTGCCTCTCGTTGCAGTGGCTGGCTAGGCCATGGTGCCTGCCTCAGCACCCAGTGTGGGCGGGACTGGGCTCCTGCCTGGTAGCAGGTCCCAGTGCCTTGGATGCAGACCTGGGGGGGCAGGGCTTAGCCCTCTCCCTGCCCCCCATGGCACACACTAAGCCCCCTCCCAAGTCCTAGGGCAGGCTCAGGGCTGCTGGGGAGTATTAGAAATCTGGATACCAGGGAGGGGCTGGTTGGAGGAGGCTGCTCGGGCTGGTTCCCAAAAAAAGGAGGGGGTACAGGCCAGCATCCAAGCAGGGCTGGGGGATGCCAGGCAGTGGTAGCCCCAGGGCTGAAGGGGTTAAGGCAGGGGCTGCTGGCACCCCCAGGGGCTACTGCTGGCACAGGCCATGGCTGGGGGGGTCCTGAACATGCAAGTGATATGCCCTGCACATGCCTCACATGGGCATACACCCACCATCCTTTCATCTTCCCCGCTGCTGGGGCTAATGAGAGCCTACCTCTGGCTGGGCACCTATGGTGGTAGTGGTTCCTGCCTGCAGCCAGTGCAGCGAGGGTGGAGGGGGGGCTTCCACATGCACCAGGACTGGGTTGCTCTGCCTCCACTGAGCCCGTGTCTCAGAAGCAGTTACATGCCTGCAGGCACATACACACACCACCCGTGCCCCGACTTCCAGACAGGGAGGCCCATCTCCACTCCCTACCACCAAGTGCCGGGGGGCACAGATCATGCCCACTGCCCCCCCTTGCTGCCATGGCCTGCAGGGGAGGCCCAGCTTGCCCCTGAGCCTGCATGGTACCCCCATTCCCGTGCCAGCATAGGAAGCCATGGCACTGCCTGGCACAGGACAGAGACCTTCCCCTTCCCTTGCCGCCCCATCAATGCAGAGCCAGTGTGTGGGAGGCAGAGCTGCTTTATTGCGGCGCCCAGCAGGGAAGGAAGAGCGGCAGCAAAGACGGGGACACCCCATGACCCCCTGAAGCCAGAGCCAGCACAGCAGACAGGAGAGGGCCGGGGCCAGGCTGCTCTACCCAGCCTGACTCCTTCCCACCTGCTCATGCGAGGGGGAGGTGGTGGCATACGGCCTGGCCCTGCCAGGGGCTAGCGGGCGGTGAACGTCTTCCCCCTGTGGAGGCAAAGGCAGGCGTTAAGGCCAGGCCCTGCATGTGGCACCAGCAGGTGGGAGACAGAGCCCCGGGTCAGTGCCACCCCCTTGCGTGGTGCCAGGGCGGGTAGGAGCTGCTGCCCCCTCCTCAGCCAGCCCCCCAGGTGCCCGCTTGGCACCGCTTCTACCGCCAGCTGCCCAGGGCCCACGCAGGGATGCCTGCGGGGCATGGAGGGGACCGTGTGAACATGCCTGGCCTGTAAGGCTGCTCCGGGAGGTGTAAGGCCCCAGGGAGAAGGTGGGGGGAGCCCTGTGTGCTGTGGGGGAGCACTGGTGCCAGGGCGCTGGGGGCGCGCCCTGGCAGTACCTATCTGCACTGCCTGTCCTGGCCTCAACTGCGCTGCCTGGCTGCTCTGTGCTCTGTGCCCGCTGGGGCCTGGTGGTGGCTGGACACGTGGCCGGCCCCGAGCAGGCTCCTGTGGAGGACAAGGGAGGGGGCAGGCATGAACACGGGGAGGGGGGGTGGGTGCAGGGACCCGGCTGCCCCCACATCTAGTGGTTACAGGGGCTCGTAACGGCCAGCGCTGGTACTAGCACCAGCCAGCAGCCACAGGGACTTCCGCATCACCACAGGATCAGGCAGCCTCAGGTGCCAGCCTGCACGCCCCCATCCCCGGCATGTTGTGCTGCCCTGGGCTTTGCTATTGCTTGCAGCACTCTAAGCCCTGTCCATCCCTGACGGACCGTGTCCATTTCACAGATGGGCAAACCGAGGCTGAGCTTCTTTCAGCCAAGAGGGACTAGATGCAGCTGCAGATGCTGAGCATGTCCCTGCTGCCAGCTCCATTTGGGGCCTTCCCCTTCCCCTTCCACCCCCAGGGGTTATAGCTGGGCACAGATACCTGCCCAGCAGGGACCCTGCAGCCACTGAGGGCTGGGGCTCCGAGCCTGCCCTGGGTCCCATGCTGTCCTCTGCTTGGCGAACAGCAGAGTCCAGACAGGACAGGGCCTGCTCGCCTTCCATTCAGGACAAGCCTCAGCTGCCCCCCTTGGGCTTCCTGGGCACTGCCCTTTGGGGTGAGGAAAGCCCATCGGCTTTACCTTCCCTTGCCAAGGGTGTCCCTGGCCTGGGTGCGTAGCAGGGAGGCAGCTCCGACCTTTGCTGGCTGCCCAAGCACCCGATGGCCTGGGAGCTGGCCAAGGGGCACCGAAGGCGATGCCTGCCAGGGGCAGGGAGGCGAGAGACACTCACGTGATTGTTTTCATCTCCTTCTTCTCGGCGTCAGGCCGGGCTCGGTTTAGCACCTTGAGGAAGTCAGATGTCTTTGCCCGCATGCGTGTGTGGATGTAGGCCTGGGGGGACACGGGTGAGGCTCAGGGACGCCAGCCTAGGCCTGCTCTGGGGCAGGAGGGACCCCAGCACGAAGCAGCAGTCCGCACCAGGTGGAGATGTGCTGGTGAGCCTCCCCCCTCCCCAGTACTGACCTTGGAGCACTTGATGTGATAGTGCAGGTAGTCGCGGAAGGTGTGGATCAAGTTGATGGTGTTGTCCCGGGCTGCGGCGTTGGTGTGGCGGGGGAACAGTACTGGAAAGCAAGTGGAGGGTGGCATGGTTACTCTCCATCCATGCCAGGTACCGGCTCAGAGACCACTGGCAGCAGAGCCCTGCCCTTTCCCCGTATTTACTTGACTCTAAGACGACCCCCACCTCCATGGTGGAGAACCTAGCTGTAGCAGAAAGGGGGATAGGGACAAATTCAAGAGCACCCCCCCCATAATGATATCCTACATTGGCCTGGGAACTGGTAAGGAGACTTGTACATTTTTCACACACACTCTGTTTTAAATTCAGGGTTGACTTAGATTCGAGTACATCTGGTAGTGGACACTGGCAGGCTCCAGGCACACTGGAGAGCTCAAGGGTACGTGCCCTTCCTGAGCTACCAGATGGTGAAACATTTACCAGCGCCGGCTCTCGCAGGATGGGGGCCCCCGACAGCTCTGTGCCAGCTGGTGGCACAGGGTCCCATCTCCAATCCTGCAGTGACGGGGAAAAAGGCCCGGGGGGTTCTCACACGAACCCATGTCCCAGTGAAAACCCAAGCAGCAGAAGAGCCCAGTCTCCCCAGAGAGACTGACACAACGGGAAGCATCACAAAGCCCCTTTACAAACCCACGGGGTATCTGTGCTTTGAATCCAGCACCCGGCTCTGCTCCCTGCAGCCCTGGGAGGAGAGAGAAGAGCTGGAGAAGGTGCAGAGCAGGGCAGCAAGGAGGCTGGGGGCTGTGGAGGGGCGAGACTGAGGCCAGGCCTAGGAGAGACACCAGAGGGGACAGGAGCAGGGTTTGCGCAGCACAGAACGGGGGAGAGGAAGTCCCCAGGGATTTATTCCTGCCTGTCTTTGCCCAGAAAGAGCTGGGTCCTGGCACAGGATGAGCAGGCCAGTAGCTGCCAACCAAGCCCAGGCCGTCCTGTCCCCCCACGGGACATTCAAGGGGGGGACTCATGGCCCCAGATGCAGCAGAGCTGAGAGCGCAGCCAGATCCACTGGGGACCGGACACTTGTGGGGAGGAAAGGGACACGGGGAGTACTGGGGCAGGGAGCGAGGGGCACGACCCTCCATGCTGGGGGAACAGGAAAGCCCTGCTTGGACCCAGGCACTCTCCCTCTAGCTCCGCTCTGCCCTGGGATATGGGGCAGGATGGAACCAGGTCCGAGCCAGCACAGGGCAGCTTGGATGTTTCTCAACGTTTCCACTATGGAGACTGGGTCCAGCAGGGCTGGCTGCGGGTGCCCCAACAAGGAGCGCGGCTGGGAGAGCAGAGCAGCTGCGGTGCCTCAGCCCCAGGGAACACCTGCCATGTACCACCCTCTACGCCTAGCTCTGGCCCATGCTCGGCTCCGGACTCGTGAGTCGAATACAGTTTTCCTGGAACAGTTCTCAGTCCTCAGTGCTTGGCACCATGTGTTGCGGTGGGGCTCTGCCCAGCCTCTAGATGAGAGAGGAAGGCCAGAGAGCATGGTCTACTGTGGTGGCCCCATGGGAAGTTGAGTCCATCTGCTATAAGGATGTCCCAGGCTTCTCAGCCTTGCTGGTTGCCACTTGGGGCTCGAAGGGAATTCCCCGCATTGCTGCTCTATGCAGGGATGAGTCTCCAAGAAGCCATCGTGTGCAGCAAGGAAAAAAACCAAAGGCAATGCCACATTTCTAAAAGAGGTGGCAAAAGTTACACCCCCCTGACCAAAACAGAAGGCAAGAATTGCAGAAGCAGCAAGGCAGAGAGCGTTTGAGATCCTGAGAGAGGCCTTGAGGAACAAGGGCTGCATGCTGATGGAGATGCCCCAGGGCCCGATTTGATGTGGGATCAACGAGCCCAAATTCTGGATGGCACGCTATGTGGTCCTGACTGAGCAGTGGGTGAGAGACCTCATCTTGGTGCTGGAGGAAGCCAAGTTCATAGAGGATCCTTCCAGTAAGAAACTTTGTGTAGGTTTATTCAAAATCTGAAGACAAAACCATTGATCTGGGTCCACAGTTCTGGGAGACACTGAGTCACCTTGGCAAAGATTGCCAGCCGGGGACTTTAATCCACGAGGCCTCTCGCCTCCTGGGTTTGTGCGACATCACCTACAAGCCAGTCAGCTTCTATGTTACCTGCAAGGGGCTGATGGTGAAAAACAATGCAAGAAAATGAAACAGGCCAAATTTCTTCCTCTGTTGACTGTGATGCTAAATGCCAACAACATCAAGTACAAGTTTGAACGGACCCTACAGCACAGGGGAGGCTACAAGTGGAAAAGATATCCTGCTGCAGGGAGACAGCGAGGAGCTCCATCTGTGAGAGCTGTGCCCAATGAGCTCTTCACCTGTCTGAACAGCCACAGGTGAGTAACATCTGTTTCCAGAAGATGCAATCGTGCGGGGGTTTCCCTGCAAGATCCAGTGCCTGCAGGCCCCAGCACCCTTGCAGGACGGGTCCGCTTCTTTCCATGCCTGGGGACTGGTCAAAGGGGACGTGTCCAGCTAACAGATCAGCCAGCAGCCTCAGCCCACAGCTGCCCCTTCCCCACCACTATCTCTTCTGATGCAGTTCAAACATTGGTATCAATGGTCTGCAACAGCAAGTGCAAGTGGCACAGGCCAGGCCTGGGCCAAGTGCTCCCTGGGAGGCAGCAGCTGCACTAACAGAGCATTAACACTTTAGACCTATGAAATAATTTCCCTCTTTTCTCTCTTCTCCTTTAGTGAATTATTAAGGAGAAGCACTGATAAAATATTGAGGAAGAAGCTGCTTCTGGCCTGGGACAGGCTGCAGTAGCACATAACAGCACTTGAGGCAATTGCTGATGCTGTGGATGAGGTTCAGAGAGAAGCCACGACAGCAAACGTTGCTGGAGGGAGGGCGGGCAAAGAGGCCTGCAGAAAGGTGGGTGTGCTCATGCTGCCTTGGTTGGGGGCAGGCAGGGATTTGCCCCCTGCTTAGCCTGGCCAGCCAGGGGGTTCCCCTTCCTCTGCAGCGGGGGCATGGCCTGGCCCTGGGCTCTCTCCAGCACCCACCAACCCCCCTGGCAGCAGCAGCCCCCCCGTATCCCAGGGGCAGGGGTGATGTCAGGGGCGACTGTGTCCTGTGACTCCAAGGTCAGACATGGGGTTTGTCTGGGGGGTTCTGGACAAGAATGATCCTGTCTTGGGCTGGATATGACCCCACAGTTCCCTGCCAGCCCCACTGTGCTTGGATTCTACAATTCCCAAGCACCATTTTAGGAAACCCCCCAGCTTTTTCCCCTGGATACAAGTCTGTCATGCTACACCATGCCCTTGAACTGTCACTATCTTTGCAAAATCCTACAGGAGAATCACATAACGAAGGAAGGACCCAGGGGGTTAAGTGCACCAATATAAACATGCGCTGGAGACATTTCTGGCTTGGTGCTTTTCTGAATGTACAAAAATACAGTGGGGTCAAAGCCACGGTCAGCTGGAGGTCAAGCCCAAAGTCCCTGACTGCACGAAGGCCTGATGTTGCACATGACATCAAGCTGGAGGGAGTAGTCTGGAAGGTCAGGCGAGGCTTCAGAGTGACCTCGACAAGCTGGAGGATTGGGCCAAAAGGAATCTCTTGAGGTTCAACAAGGACAAGTGCAAAGTCCTACACTGAGGAGGGAGCGATCCCCTGCACCAGTGCAGGCTGGGGGTGACGGGCTGGGCAGCAGCTCTGCAGAAAAGGACCTGGGGGGACAGGGGACAAGAAGCTGAACAGGAACCAGCAGTGTGCCCTTGGTGCCCAGAAAGCCAACGGCATCCCAGGCTGCATTGGGAGGAGCGTTGCCAGCAGATGTAGGGCAGCAATTCTTCTCTCTATTCAGCACTGGGGAGGTCACGTCTGGAGTGCTGTGTCCAGCTGTGGGCCCCCATTACAGAAAGGATGTGGACACATGGGAGAGAGTCCAGAAAAGAAAATGTTTTTGGGGCTGGAGGACAGGACTGGTGAGGAGAGGCTGAGGGAACTGGGCTGATTTAGTCTGCAGAAGAGAAGACCGAGGAGGATTTGATAGCAGCCTTCACCTCCCTGCAGGGGGTTGCGAAGAGGATGGAGCTGGGCTGTTCTCAGTGGGGGCAGATGACAGGACAAGGAGCAATGGGCTCAGGTTGCAGCAAGGGAAGTTGAGAGCGGATTTTAGGAAAACACTCTCATTAAGAGGGTAGTAAAGCACTGGAAGAGGTTACCCAGAGAGGTGGTGGCATCTCCATCCTTAGCAGTTGTTAAGACCCAGCTAGACAAAGCCTTGGCTGGGATGATTGAGTTGGGGCTGGTCCTGCTTAGAGCAGGAGGTTGGACTCTACGTGACCTCCTGAGGTCCCTTCAACTCTCACTTTCTACGAGTCCGTGATTCTCCGACAGCCCAGAGCACCGTGGAGCCATGGCACCAGCCACATGCTCAGGTCATGCCTCTATTTGCTGAAGGAAAAAGTATCTGCAGACATCTTTGTGGCCAGACAAGCTACACCAGGGGGCTCAGCCCATGGGTCAGACCTGGGCCCCAAGATCTGGCAGTGGGGGAGAGATGGCACCACTCTCCTTGCTGCCAAATTTCCAGACTGATGGGAGACCTCAGCCCTTCATGCTAAACTGGGCTCCCGATCACAGCACACAGGACTGGGCAGGGGTGGCACTGGACCCCCAGACCCAATCCCCATGTGGGGAACCGGGAGGGGGTTCTGCCAGGCTGGCAGGGCCCAATCTCAGCATGTGAAGGGGGCAGTGCCAGGACCCCCCAGGTCAGCCAAAGTGGCAGCCAGCAGTAGGAGCACTTTAGAAGGAAAGGTCTAAGGCCCTGCGCAGGGCTGGACGGTTGCAGTCCCACCGCAGCCCACATCATCCAGCTGTAGCCTCAAGAGCTTTCAGAGACAGCCAGGGATACGGCGGCAAGGGTTCCCAGCTCCCCCTTCTACACCTACAACATTTGCCCACGGTCCATTTCCGCTCAGCCACGTGGCCTTGCTGCCAGAAACGCAGAGCCAAATCTTACAAAACCTGAGTGAGTTAGGAGCCAACTTCCCATTTTCCAAAGCCACCTAAGTATAGACGGGTAAAGCCAAGGTGGTGCTCCAGTGGGGAACCTGCTAGACGCGACTTACCGAAGGTGATGTAGCCAATGTTGTCACCCACAGCAGCGTCGGTGTCCTTCAGTTCCAGGGGGGGCTCCCGGTGGCTGAAGAGCACCTGGGGGGCTGTGTGGCTGGCACGTCGCCCCTCCTTGAATTCCTGGCACGGAGAGAAAGCTGAAAGTGAGTCCGTGGGTTTGGGGTCGTGCACACAGAGTTCCCAGCCTGCGGACACAAAGCCTGGCTGCAAGACCCGAGACATCCCTGTCCTGAGCTAGACCCGAACGTCTCCATCTGAGTGGGGATGAATGGATGGGAGGGTCCCAGGAAGTCATTCAGGGCCACAGGGGCCGAGACCTGCTACGGAGACTTGGAACCTGCCCAAAAGGCCGGGGTCATTTGGATGGAGCCTTCCCCCTCCCTGCCAGTGAGGACAGGGCTGAGACGCAGGCAGGGGCCTTCTCCACAGCCAAATTATATCCTGGAGCCGTGGATCTGGCAGGGAGCTGCAGGGTTACGTCCAGCCTGAGGCAGGATCAGCCTCGTCCAAACCTCCCAGCCAAACCCAGCGTGTGACCTTGGAGCTGCACAACACCATTGCCCCCGACAGCCACAGGCATCGCCCCCAGCCCTGGGATACAGGGGGCTGCAGTTGACACCATCCTGTTTCTATAAATGCCTGTCAATATATGCTTGAAACCCAGAGCAGAGGCCATGCCCGTGACAGGAAGGCAAACCAATTCCCAGTCCATATTAATTTGACCCCGGATTCAAATTCTTTCTGGACCCCAAATATGGGGCTGGTTTGACCCTGAGCGGAGGGACGAGACCTTCCAGCCAAGAGCCTCTGGCTTTCATCCCAGCAGGAGCATTGGCACTGCCCGAGCACAACCCCAGCCTGGGCTGCAGCCAGCACCCAGTGACTCAGAGTCTTAAAAACACCCTGATGCGTGTAGCAAAATGTTGGGGGGGTCCCCCCACAGCCACACATGGCAGCCAGCACAGCCCAGCCTGGGTCACCCCCAGCAGAGCATGGGCATCGCTGCACCTTGATCCTGCCTGCCCAGCACCCGTCCAGCCTCTCCTTGGACCTCCAGTGCTGGATTGTCCCCTGGCCCTGGCATCTCCCCTGCGGCCTCCCTGCCCAGGCAGTGAAGAAGTGTTTCCTGAGATCCAACCTAAACCTGCTTTGCTGCAACTTCAAGCCACGGATGTGTGGTCTGCTCTGCAGCAGGACAGAGAAGCTTCTCTCCCTCTTCTCTCCGGAGCCCCCAAGCCCCTGCTGGCTGCTCCCAGGTGGCCTCTGAAGCCCCTTTCCCCACAGCAGAACATGCCTGGCTCCCTTGGCCTCTCCCCGCAGGACCTGCCTTCCCAGCCCTTGACCATCCCTGTTGCTGCCTCTAGCCCTTCTTCAGCTTCTCCATGGGCTTTTTGCAGTGTGGAGCTCAGAACTGCACACTTGCAACTTGACGCCAAAGGCAGAAGCAGCTCAAAGAGCTTCCTCCTGCCTGAGGCAGCTGGCACCAGTCAGGTTTTCCCCATAAGTGGGGCAGCTGAGGTGCAACACCCATCAGACAATGCAACATCGTGTTGGGGGAGACCTAGGATGATTCAGTGGCTGGAAGCAGCCAGACCCTTGGGGACATCACCCAGCCCCACTGGTTAAGCCCACGGTTTTACAGAGCTGAAACTGGGGGAGCTCAGAGTTAACACCAGGCATGCAGGGCTGGGAGTGCTGGCAGGAGGACTCACACCCAGAGCAGACGCCCAGCTCTGGACTCACACCAGAAACAACGCAGAGGATCCAATGACTACGTCCTGGATGTGTCTGGTGGCTGGGAGGGATCCCACAGCTGTTGGTCTATGAGGATGCAACATGGCTAGCACCCGGCTCAGCACCAGCTCTCTGACCTCATCCCCCCTGTACCCCAGAATATGATGTGTGCCCAGCTCGACAGGCCCCAATACAAGCTCCTGACATGAGACTCAACTGCAGCCAGGGTTTCGCAGGACTCGTGCTCAATGTTGGTGCCATCTCAGGGCACTGCGTGTGGAGAGGGCGCCCTGACACGCGGATGGCGTGTGCGGTCAGGAGCTGTAGTGTGACTGAGCAGCAGCACAGGTTTCACAAGAAAGCGCTTGCCTGTGCAGAGCCCAGCCACGTGGACAATGCATTCAAACGCAACCTCAACCACATGCTCTACAGACAAGGGTGGGTTGGGAGCCAGACACGCTTCAGGCTCATGCTCCTTTTGTGCTATGGCTTTAACAGGCACCGTCTTTGGAACGAAGAGGGTAGCACCCACCCAGATGCAGCCCAGCATGGACTGGGACTATACCCCTTCCCCCAATCCCGCTCTTGCTGCTCCCTGACACGGGGTTTTTAAGACTCTCCCAGAGGCATCAGGTGTTGGCTGCAGCCCAGGCTGGGGGCTGTGCCAATGCTTCTGCTGGGATTTAAATCTGGAGGGTCCTGGCTACGTGGTCCTGCCCCTCTGCTCAGGTTCAGACTGACTGCTGTATTTGGGGTCAAGAAGGAATCTTACCCTGTGCTCAGAGTAGGATGGACTCCGGGGGGTTGGGGGGGTTGTTTTCCTCTGTAGCAGGGACACGGCCTCTGCCTGGGATCTCAAGCATATATTAACATTTTATAGAAGTAGGACATTGGTGGCCGTGGCCTCCCTGCTCTCCTGGGTGTAGGGGCAGGGGTGATACCCAGAGCCGTGTCAAGGATGACTGCTGTGTTGCTAACAGGGTGGACTATGGGTTTGTCTAGGATAGTCTGGGCAGGGCTGATCCTACCTCAGGCAGGGGGTTGGACTGGATGTGACCTCTGGAGCTCCCTTCCAGCCCTGCTGCTCCAGGACTCTGATTCTAGGGCACCCCAGAGCACAAAGCGGCTAAGACGCGCTTGCCATACCTGCATGAACACTTTCCCGATCACCACGTCGTCATCGTCCTTGAAAACCGTGCTGAAGACAACTGTCACGCGGTCCTTCTTCGCCTCGACGTACCTGGACAGGGTGAGGGAGGAAGGAACACAATTGACATCTAGTGGGTCAGACCCTAGGTCCGTCCTTCTCCGTCTCTTGTATCACAGGGCAGAAGAGAGTGGAGCTGGAGGGAGAGTGCCTGTGTCTGAGCAGGGTTTTCCCTGGTTCCTCTCCCTGCAGCCTCCAGCATTGGAAGTCCAGGAAGTTTTGATGCAGAGGCCGTGCCCCTCACACCCTGCTCTGGAGCCACCGATGCCCTTTCCTCCCAGCACGTGTCCAGTCCCTGGTGAATCTGGCTGAACTCCACTTCCACCACATCTGAAGACAACGAGCTCCACCCTTTAATTTCACACTATGTAAAAAAATTCTGTGTCAATTTCAGCTGACGGCTTATTTGCTCCATGCTGTGACCCCTTGTTCTTGTCTGGTGAGAGACAGTCAGTAATAAATCCCTAGGGACCTTCTTCATCATTTCGTGTTTCAGAAACCCTTCTCATGTCTCCCCTCAAGCATCTCTTTCCTAAATCGACCAGACTTGGCTTCCTTAGTCTCTCCACCTAGGGAAGCCCCTCCCATAGCTCTTAGCATCCTTGTTGCCCTTCTTCAGACCTTCTCTAGATCTCCTATCTCTTTGTGGAGGTGCAGGGACCAAAGCTGGGCACAGCTTTCCAGGTGTGAAGCAAGCCTGCTCCGAGCAAAGGCTGTGGACCCTGGAAAAGCCCCGACATGGAAAACAAGGTGTTGCTACAGTGTGCAGCAGAGGTGGACAAGATGCAGCCACCACAGGTGCTCAGATCAGACCATCCATGTGATAAGTGACGGGGTGCATGGCAGGGAGCGTGTGATAGCAACTACAAGAGAGCAGCTAGAGGCAGGGATGGCTACTAGAAAACATGACAGCCCCTTGTCCCAGGCACTGCCCCTTCCCCAGGGAACAGGGCGCTTCAGCCAAGTCTGAAACTCCGGGAATAAGAGGGTCCTCAACAGGCTGTTTGGCAACATTCATGTACAGCTTGTTAGTCAGACAGACAAATGGTGCCTTCATGACGGACCTCTCATGGACCGAGACAAGACCAGGACCTTCACTGAAACAGCACCAAGGAGTGTACTGCTCACCATGGCTTCCTACACATCTGAACAGAGGTGCAGGGCATGTACACATCTGGCAGCCAGGCCTGGGATTCTGTGCAGATGAACTTGTTGGGGGATGCGTGGTTGCACCTGTGTGTGCTCTGCATGCCTACATCGTGTTGTCTCAGTAACAGATGAACACATTGGCAGCATCAGGGCAGGTGTGTGTGTGACTGCATATGTATGCATGTGTGCGCACACGATTGCCTTTTAGTCCTGTTAATAGATTAACATGTTGACAGTGACAGGGCAGATGTGCATGCACGTGTGTGCACCCTCCCTACAAGCTTTCATCAGTTCTCAGTCCTGTTAATGAATGAACATTTCAGTAGCATCAGAACAAGTGCATACGCCCGACATGCTTACATCATGTCACTGTCCTGGTAAGTGGTAAATGTGTTGGCAGTCTCAGGGCAGGTGCATGGGTAGATGTGCATGCACATGTGTACATGCACATGTGACTACATGCTTACACCATCTCATCATCCTAGTAATGGACAAATGTGTTGGCTGTGTTAGGGCAGGCATGTGTGTGAGTGCACACACGTGCACGTGTCGTATGGGTTTACATAATCTCTTAGTCCCAGTAACAGATGAATGAATGTGTTGGTAGTGTCAGGGCAGGCGTGTGCATGTGCATGCTCTACATGCTTACATGGTCTCGTCATCCCGGTAGTGGATGACCGCCCTCTTCTCCCCCTCCTTCCCTTCTTCCTGGAACTTGAAGTACTTCTCAAAGACGGAGGCAAAGCAGTTGCGCTTCAGCATGCCGGCCTGGTGCACCAGAGCATCCTTGTCGGCAGGGAGGTTCTCCAGGTCGTAGAGTAGCGACACATTATAGCCTGCAGAGGGACAGAGCCGTCCCGTCCAAGGGAGGGAATTCAATGAGCACAGGATAATATCCCCCCTGCTCCAAGCCCTGCCAAGGCCCCCTTCCCCAATTTTTATCACTGCCGGACACGTCATCATGGGTTCGAGCTGCCGTGCAACTGGGTTGAGCTGGGCTGTGGACCCACAAACCCTCTGGTTCTCCCCATCTCAGAGACGGGGGCAACAGCACAGTGGTAGGGGGTGTGTAGAAAGAGCTGCTGTCACAAGTAACCCCAGTTTCCTTGGAGCCTCAGTCTCCAGCAGAACAAATGTCCCAACAGTGAGGCTTTCCCCAGGGTGGGACTGCGCGATGCGTGGCAACAACAGGCAACACCATTGCCCCCAGCCCTCTCTGAACATTGAAAGCTCCTCTGCTGTGCTAGGAGCCCTGGCTCCAAGCCCAAGAGCCTGGCACCCTGCCCAATGCTACTTGGTTCTGCCAAAGATCAGGAGGAAATCGTTGTGGGCATGTCCCACGCATGTTTCCCGGGGTTTGACAGGCTCAGGCTTACCCGACTCAGGAGTTACCAGGTAGCTGCCATAGACTCGCTTCAGTAACTAGGAGAGAAGAAAAGAGATGTTGGCACCTGCTAGACCCCACACTCTTCTCCTCCCATCAGCCCCTCTGCTCACAAGGCCTGAGCAGGGACCGAGACTCTGGCTTGGCTTCTGGCCTGGAGCTAAGGCCCCAGATCTCAGGCCTCTGCACAGTCCAGCCCTAAAGGTTCCATCAGCTGACCACTACACAGTCGGCTTCCCCAATTTTTATGGGACTAGTTTCTGCTTCTGGTTCAAGGCAAATCCCCATGTCTTCCCTGATCCCACAGCTTGCAGGGTGCTACAGGACCCTCCCTCGGAACAGGTGCTTCCGTTGGGTTTTTAAACGAAGGCACTTCTAGGCCCTGCGGCTGTGGGGGAAAGTAGAAGACAGCGCAGATTTGCATCTTATATACGTATGTACACACGCACGCACACACTTTGGTTAGTCTATGTATATATGTATGTATCTATATAAATATGTACACAGGCACGTGTGTATATATACACACACGTGTAAATTAACCAAAGTGTATGAGTGTATATGTACACACACACACACACACACACAGCCTGCTGTATAGCCTGGCCCAACTGGGCCAGGCCAGGCCAGGCCAGGCTATACAGCACAAGCTTTTACGGGCTAACTTTATGATTATTTATATACCCTATATACACACGTACACACGCACGCTCCCCTCTGGTTTGCCTATCGGGTGCGGCTCTACCCGGCCTTCTACCTGATTTCAGACTAACACAGTGAACCCCATCTCTGTTGTGGGGAGAAGCCCGAATTGACTTGGTTCACCTAATAGATGCAGTATTGCCTGTTGAGCCCTATAGAGAGCCTGAGAGAACAGCTCAGAGATGACAACTAGCCCCACCCCCTGGGCAGCTAGGGGATTTGGCGATTCTCAGATAAAAACCCAACCCTTCCTCAGCAAACAGGGCCTGCCCTTTGCCCCCTGGTCCCCTGTGGGAAGAACTGGGTTACAAGCACTGGTTTAAGGACTCCTAGAATCTTAGAGAAGGGAGGGAAGAGACCTTGAGAAGCTGCATCAAGTCCAACCCCCTGCCCGAGGCAGGATTAGCTCCGTCCAAGCAAACCCCGTGTGCGACCTTGGAGCTGCACGACACTGTTGCCCCTGACACAGCCCTGAGTATTGCCCCTGCCCCCGGGATACAGGGAGGCCGTGGCCACCAATGTCCTTCAGCTGCGAGGGGGCTTGGTGGGCGCTGGAGAGCGCCCAGGTGCAGGCTGTGCCCCTGCTGCAGAGGGAGGGGAAACCCCCCCCCAGCTGGGCCAGGCTGAGCAGGGGGCAAATCCCTACCCCCGCAAGGCAGTGTGAGCAGGGGGCAAGAGCCTGTAGCCAGGACCATGCAGGGCTCAGTCCCAGCAGGAGCACTGGCACAACCTGGGCACAGCCAGAGCCTGCGCTGCAGCCAGCACCCAATGCTTCTGAGGGAGGCTTAAAAATATGCCCCCGGTCACACAAAGGGCAGGAAGGCAAAACAATTCCATCCTGGCCCCATACGGCAACTAGCAAAGAAGCTGTGGACCCAGAGCTCGTGTCCAATGTGCAGCCTGGGAATGCAGGGTCCAGATGTCCAGGTATTTGAGCACTGCAGCAGCCAAGATCACTGACTAGAGCCACTCACGAGCCAGCTCCACTAGGGCAGGTGCGCAGTGGGAAGGAGTTTCTGTGCCAGGCAGCTTGGAGAACATCCTGGGAGCTGAGCTGCTTGCAGCAGCGCAGAGAGCTCATCTCTAGGGAGAGCCCCTGCTGTGTTGCAGCTCCGAGAGTGCGGTCATGGGAGGGGAAACACCTCATGGCAATGGGATTGATTAGCCTGGCAAAGTTCAGGGGTGTTCCCCCACCCCAGGCATGAGGCACGTGGATCTTGACTCAGCAGGGAGCTGCAGAGCACAGACATGACCCCATCAGCGAAGGCAGGGGTGTCAAACATTGACCCCCCCATTAAGCGTCCAGCCCCGCATCTGAGCAGACCCCCATGGGGCAAGGCACACGTCACACTAGACAGGGCTCTGACACACATGGTGCCCAGGACTGCACTGCGTGAGCAGATGTGTGCCATATGGATCCTGGAGTGCCTGGAACAGGCACATGTAGCAGAGTGCATCCAGGGGCGTGTCGCATGGATCCCAGAAGTGCTACACATGGTGCCTGTCCCAGGGCACGCACTGCACATGGCACCCACCCCAGAAGGTCCAGGACTATGCCACATGTTGCGCCTGCTCCAGCCGATCTGGGAATCACGCCACACGCGGTGTAAGCAAGCGCCATGAGCAGTGCAGGTCTCAGATTGGCTGGAGCGGGCGCTGTGTGAGGGGTGGTGGTTCTGAGCACAAGCCATGTGTGTTGCAGTCCAGCCAGATGAGCACTGTGTGCAGCCCAGGTCTCAGGCCAGCTGGAACAGGTGTTGTGTGCAGCAGTTCCCGGAGCAGGCACCACTTGTGGTGTGGTCTAGCTGAGGCAGATGCCACTGAACACTCACCTGCTCCGAGATCTGTGCTACAGGCCCCTGGCCAGACCATGCACACATGGTGCCCGGAGATCCATGCTGCACACAGCATGGGTCCCAAATGGGCTAAGCCTGGCACCAGATCCGATAGGCTGAGAGAACAGAAGAAGGGGGTGGGAGCCCATGGGTCAATTTGGCCCCAGGCCACTCAGCTGGCTTACCAGGCTAGATTAATGTGAGAGCCCCAGACTCAAGGGCTCTGCCTCCAGAATGAGGTGACTGGCACTTCTCTAGCAGTGGCTGAGGACAGAAATGACATGGAGCCAGGACAGGCTGCTATGCCCTCCTCACAGTGCAGAGAGGGCTGGGGAGACAACCAAGGGCAGAAGGGGACTCTCCTTGGGTGCCCTCCAAGAGGAATCAATTATTCAAAGGCTCTGATTCTACAGTACTGGGGTCCTTTCTTCTTCCACGCCAGTACTACTTCACTACTGCTTCAGAACCTCATACAGATCGTGTCTATTTCCCAGTAGAGGGGGAAGTACGGCATTAAGGATCTATGCTGGAGGACACAGAAGTGAGGGCCCTAGCATGCAGCTTGCACTCACTGCACATCTAAGTGGCTGGGAACAGCTCCTCCTCACTGCAGTGATCAGTGCAACTGCCCCACGGGGCTGTGGGATAGGGAGAGCTGCACGGAAAGCCGAGTGCTGACAAGGTAACTGGGCTCTGTGGTTTCCCTGAGGCTGCAACCTGTCTGGAAGAACCAGGCAGCTCCAGTCTGGCCCAGTGGGGTCCCCTGCAAGCCAGGAGGAGCTGGGGAAACTTTGCAGCAAAGTCAGCACCAGGCCCCTGACCGGTGCTGGATGCCCTCACTGGAGCTATCCTTAGGGGTGAAACTCTCCAGCTACGCCTGCAATCAGCTCATAGGGTTGTGAGCAGTCTGGTTCCCTTTGCTTCCACTGGAGGGGGAAATCTGCACACATGTGTATGTGCACATGCACCCAGACACATGCACAAAGACATGCCAGAGCAAACTGCTGCACCTGTGTGCTGAGCAGGACTGGGGGAGTCCCATTTGGTCACTTGAGGACACACGTGTTGGGGGGAGGTTTAAGCCTTCCTCAGAGGCTCTGGGTGCTTGCTGCAGCCCACACTGGGGGCCGTGACTGGGCCTTGTCAATGCTGCTGGGACCAAAGCCACAGGGTGCTGTCTAGAGGGTTTTGCCCTTCCAGTCCGGGTCAGACTGATGCCATATATTTGAAGCCAGGCAGGACTTTTACCCACAGTCATCTTGGTATAGACTGGGGGGTTGCCTTCCTCTGTAGTGGGGGCATGGCCTCTACCTGGGATCTCTGGAGCGTATATCAACCACCTTTTACAGAAACAGGACATTGGCTGCTACGGTCCCCCTACTTTCCCTGCAGCAGGATTGGGTGTGATGTCTGGTGCTGTGTCAGGCTTGGTGGTCATTTTATGAAGAGCTTAGACGATGTTTTGCCTGCACTGGCTTGGACAGGGCTGATCCTGCCTCAGGCAGGGCTGGGACTAGATGCAACCTCTGGAGCTCCCTGCCAGCCCCGCTCCTCTACGATTCTGACACAGGAGGCAAAAGCCATGCTTCCGAGCAGTGCTTGAGCTGAGCTTCTGACACAGGAGAGCAGACTTGGGAACTGAGTCATGCTTCCTGCTCTGAACTCCGGCCGCAAGCCCCAGCTGCTAAGAGGCCTGTTCTTGCTACCATAAATGGCTCTCTGCGGCAAGAACCCGGCTGGCAGGAACTAAACCTGTGAGTCCATGCAGCAGCAGGGAGAACTCAATGCATCCAGATGCCTGGGTGCAAGAAGCAGCCTTTTGTTAGCCTGAAAGCACAGACTGAGGCAGGACAGCAGCCCCATGGGACTCTCTATTTATTCTCTCAGCAAGTTCCTTTGCAAGCCGGCTCAGTTTACAGGTCAAAAAGAAGATGCTGAATTGCCAGGGGCCTCAAAGACCCCCAAGGGATCTGAAAAAAAAAAAAAATCAGCTGTTCTCTGCTATCAGCATCAACACAACCTTGTTTAACTGGAACAAAGCAACAGGGCTGGGAGGTGGCAGCTGCTTCCTTCCAGAATCAGACTAGCACTGTAAGGCACGTGAAGGCTACTCTGACCCAGGACAAGATGGTGCTACTCTATGAGGACAGAGGGCCCTGACCCATGCTAACATCATGCAAGCATCTGACCGCTCAGGGGACAGGGGCTCGAAGGCAGAGCCAGTCTGGACACTCACCTCATCAGCACCATGTTCCTGTAGTTCCTTGTAGAACTTTAGGGAGATGCTGACCATCACTTTGGTCTTGTCTCCATTGGGATTGGAGATGTGGTAGAGGACCCCGTCGAAGTCTGGGGGAAGAGAGGGCAGTCAAAGACCAATCCACAGCCTACTTCCAGAGGGCTGCAATGCCAGACAGCCCGCAGCGCTTTCCAATGCATTGCTCTATGCTCCATGGAGCCTGTCATTAAGGACCCTGTGGCCACAGTACAGGGAGATGTTTCACTGGAGTCACGAAGCCCTTTGGCAGCCACAGAGCACAGGAAAGCTTGTGGTCTCACAGAGATGCCTGCCGCACTCAAACCCCTGTGGGTGCAGGGCATGGGGATAAAGGCCTCCTCACTGCTGTTTCTACTGGGCCTGGATCTGTCTTCCACAGGCCAGCTCAAGGTCTGAATACCAGATTGTCTTGCGCTCCCCACAACCCTGCAAAAGGTTGGGAAAGGGAGGGGAGTCAAGAGCAAAGGCTGCTGCTTAGGCAGACTAGAGAAGCTCTAACTCCACTGGGGTCAGAGAGGCAATGTGCTGGAGGCAAAAGCCATGCTTCCGAGCAGAGCTTGAGCTGGGCTTCTCCAGAGCTGCCTGGGACCTGGAGACAGCAGAGCCAAACTGAATGCCTGCTCCTGGTTTTATGGTTTCTAGGGTTGGAAGGGACCTGAACCAAATCATCAAGTCTGACCCCTGCCCTGGGCAGGAAAGAGTACCGGGATCATAATACCTCAGCCAGATATTCCCTTCACTGGGGAATAAGCAACAGTGTGGGGCCGAGCTATCAGGTTCTCACAGCTGCTGCAGTGCCTTGGGGGCTGATTTAGGGCAATGGTGCTATAAGCTGCATCCATGGAGCTCACTGCACCAGGTGACGTCTCCCAGGCATGTGAGGTGAGCAAGCTTGACCTGTGCCATTTGTCCCCAGCACATGCATGTGCCCCTTCAAGTGCTGGGCTGGGAGGTGGGACGGGGAAAGCAGGAGAGCCATAATTCAAACACAATCCTTGTGGGAGCTGCTGCGCGCAGGAGCACGCTGGAAGGTGGGGGGCTGGATTCAACACCTCTCCCTGTGGCACTGCGGTTGCTGAGATAGGGCCAAGGCAAGCTCCAGGCTTGAAGGCTGGAGACGCCCAGTCTGTGGCTCTTACCTGCAAACGTTACTTCCACGGCCTCAGGCTTGTTTCTAAAAAAACAACACAAAACATAAGAGTGGTTGGGAGCACATAGTGGCAGCCCTAGAGCTGCCCAGGGTCACCTGGGCACTACATGTAAAAGCTGCACCTCTGTGGTTTTGGACAGAGAAGTGGCTTTATATCCGGAGGCCCTGATGGTCTCTCCACCCACAGCCATTCCAGTCCTGACCGATCACCTCCCACCTGGCTCTCGGCAAGCTGCTCTCGATCCCCTGGCACTGGAAATGAATCTTACGCGTTTGGCTTGGAGCACGCTGTGGTTTATTATTATCTGGCTCTGAAATTCTCCAGCAGAGTCCACCATCCCCATGGCTGGCATGAAGTGATCAATCTGCTTTGTTTTTAACTGTTTGAGAGGCATATTTGGAGCTCAGCAGCTCTCTGACACCCACAGTTTATAAGAGAATATATAAATGCAATGGCCTATGATAGTGAGGGGCTGGATCTGGATGCACAAGCTCCCTGGCCAGCCTTGGTTTCTCTTCTAGCCGTGAAGACCCGAGAAGGGCACCATATCCCAGGCAGCACTGTGGTGCCAGAGATGTACCCAATAGACCAGAAAGACCTTGGATACTCCCATCACATCTCAACCCCCAGCTGCTGTCTTGTTCATTGCTCAAGATCCCAAGCCACGTGTTTTAACTTCCCTTTGCCTTTCCTGCTCAAAGCCTGGAGGCCTAGCAGTGATACCCTAAGAAGCTGTACCCTCCCCACCCCAGGTCCTGGAGTTCAGCCAGTGCCACCTACCCAAGGATGGGCCCTGGTGCTCAATACCAGCTCTAGGTCACAGCCCCAAGCTGATGTCAATACAGGCAGATCTGAGACAGTGCCTGTGGCTCCAAACAAGCCACCAGGCTCTCAATGCTGGAAATCTTTTTATGCCATAGAGCTGCCCCAGGTGAAAGCTGCCGGCAGATGCCAGGGGCACCTCAGCATAGCAAGGAAGATAAGCGAAAGCTGGAGGGAGAGCAGGGACTTGACGCTCCTGTCACTGGTGATTTTAATGATTTTCTGCTAAGCAAAACCCCCGCTGTCCCCTGCCACCTGTTTTAATTGGGGGCAACTATCTCTGTCCTGCCCAGGGGGGTTGGGGACAGAGCAGGGTGTGCTGGAGACCAGCACAGGCATGCAGGGAGACTGATGTCCGAGACATCTGTCCTAGGTCCCCTAAAGAGACTCACTATGATGGGCCAGCAGTGGGGATGACGCTCAAGGGCAACTAGCACGGTTTCATTAGGGGCAGGTCCTGTTAGACCAACCTGATTGCCTTCTACGATCAGGTCACAAAATTCTTGGACACAGGTGTCATGGTGGATGTAGTCTTTCTGGACTGCAGGAAGGCCTTTGACACTGTCTCTCACCCCATTCTCATTAAAAAGCTCGGTGACTGCGGCACCGACGCCTACACAGTCAGATGGGTCGCCAACTGGCTGGAGAGCCGTACCCAAAGAGCGGTGGTGGACGGGTCATTTTTGACCTGGAGGGATGTGGGCAGTGGGGTCCCCCAGGGCTTGGTGCTTGGGCCTGCACTGTTCAATTTCTTTATTAGCGACTTGGATGACAGGGTGAAGAGCAGCTTGTTTAAATTCACAGACGACACCAAGATTTGGGGTGAGGTGGGCACACGCTAGAAGGAAAGGACAGATTACAGCAGGACCTGGACAGGTTACAGGGGTAGGTAAATGAAAACAGGATGGGATTCAATAGTGACAAGTGCAGGGTGCTGCACCTGGGCAGTAGAAACCAGCAGCATACCTACAGGCCAGGGAACTCCCTTCTCGAAAGCACGGTGGCAGAAAGAGATCTTGGAGTAATTACTGACTCCAAGATGAACACAGGCTATCAATGTGAGGATGCGGTCAGGAAGGCCAACCACACCTTGTCGCGCATCCACAGATGCATCTCAAGCAGGTTCAAGGAAGTGATCCTCCCCGCCCCGTGCAGCACTGGTCAGGCCGCAGCTGGAGTACTGCATCCA